AAATACTTCATCTCAGAAAGATAGACAGATGTTGAGTAATTTTAAGGGCTTAATTACGAAGTCAACTTCCAGGTCTTTGAGAAAAAAGGGTTCTGTAGAAGAATTACTTATGTATTGGTACACTAAGTTTAGATCGGGAAGGTTGGGTGGGGTGCATATGTGCAATTCCGCACTAAGTAATCTTTTATAGTTCTGAGATTCTGATGTGATCAGGAATTTTATTCAAGAATTATTGCTCCAAAATACAGCAATTGTGGTACCCAGGAATGGTACTTACATGATTCTCCGTACAACAGGAAAAAATCGTAGTTTTAAGTTTCCACATTTTTGTTATTTCGATTTGCAGGTTTTTATAATTTAACAAATTTTGAAATTCTTTTTAAGAATTATTGGAATCCTGTGAGCAAGTCATATCAATTAGTTGGCAGGTTCCTTTTTTGAAATCTTTTATGACTATGTCTCGTCTTTTTCAGTCACCGCCCTGGATAAGACGTTAAACTACATCCGCGTCCTGTGTAAGATGATAAACTACGTCCAGTAGCAAGGCCTCTGATCAGGAGGATTTGAGGAGCGTGGAACCACCTCTTAATTGCTGGTGTTCCCAAGCCCACCCTTACCCAGGGTGGTAGCACCTGTTAGGGTCCCAGCTATGGACAAATAGTTAACTATTACCAGCAATATTTTTTTGAAAAAAAATATTACCTGCAATACAATTTTGAATGAAAAATATTACCAGAAACTGATTTTTGACAAAACAAGATATTACCAGAAATAAAAAAATTATCAGCATTAAATAAACCATTGACGTTGATATGCCGTAAAACAAAATAAACCAATCTAAACCAAATACATATTCTATTCATACGAATCTATCCTAAAAATGTTGCCGGCATTAAATAACCCATTGAGGTTGATATGCCGTAAAACAAAATAAACCAAACCAATCTAAACCAAAGAATACATATTCTATTCATACGAATCTATCCTAAAAATATTGTCGGCATTAAATAACCCATTGAGGTTGATATGCCGTAAAACAAAATAAACCAAACCAATCTAAACCAAAGAATACATATTCTATTCATACGAATCTATCCTAAAAATGTTGCCGGCATTAAATAACCCATTGAGGTTGATATGCCGTAAAACAAAATAAACCAAACCAATCTAAACCAAAGAATACATATTCTATTCATACGAATATATCCTAAAAATGTTGTCGGCATTAAATAACCCATTGAGGTGTTGATATGCCGTAAAACAAAATAAACCAAACTAAACTATTTGAGACAAGTTTCTTGTCTGTGAGAATTGGGAAACTTCACAGTCTAGTTCCTTCAGCATCATTTTTGACATCATTCAGTGGTGTTTGTGCCGTGTATCCTTGACTTTAATACACTAGTGCAAATAGATATACCAATGAATAGTCCTAGCCTATTATGTATAATAATGTATTCTTTCTCAGCAATTCTTTCTCTGATACTATATGGCCAACAGTTTCATCAAATTTAATGACAACATAAGGATGTTTGTCGATGGATGACAGTATTCACCAGATACTTAATGTTTTATTGATTTAAAAAAGTCTTGTAGGCATTAATTCCTAAGGAATCAACATCAGCTTTAGGGTGGTTTTTGTTTACTCTTGTGATGCCATAATAAGGCCTTCCATGTCCCCGTTAAGACCTTTGCTTCTAAGGCATTGATGGATTTCGTGAATATTAATGTCTGGTTCATTTTGAATACTCTCCATACAAGAGTTTAGATTTCCGTTTTTGTTAAGTTAAGTTAATTTTGTCTAATTAGAAACACCCAGCCTTCAGCAGTCTAGCCACTCGTCGGAATTTTGGGATTGAAAAAAAGAAAAAAGAACAATGTCAAATGATTTTTGCAATCTTGCCATTGTTTCTGTAATCTGACTCAGGCGGATCGACGCTATCCTGTATCGCCATTTTTAAAAAAATCCAGACGATTTTTGACTTCTGCTAATATTGTCCTAGGATGACTTAAATGCCTTTTTCTCCTGCTCATTAGGTACGACGGTAGCAAGGCGTCTGATCGTTGGAAAAATTAACTGGAAATCGAAACAATTTCGTATAAATACCTTTAATATCTGTGCTACATTTTTATAGTAAAATTCTTTTTTTTAGTAAAATTAGCAACAATACGACTTTTTTTATAGTAAAATTCATGTTTTATTAAATTACGAACAATACATTTTATAGTAAAATTAAAGTTATAGTGAAATATTTTTTATGGTTACAATATATGTGAAACATCTAAGTTTTATGAAAATTACGTAGATGCGCCATTTTTTTTTTTAAAATTACCAATGTTAAACAAAAGTTAAAAATATATATAAAATTGTTTTTAAAAAAATACTGTTAACAATGTTGAGTTTGAACCAGATGCAAATTGAGTTACATTAAATGATTTATTCCTCTTCATTATAAAGTTTAAATATTCGGCAATATCTAAACGTGATCAACAATCTTTAAACAAGACCAGTATGTCGGAATGAAAAAAGCAATGTCAAATGTCACGATGGTGGAGATAGCGCCATTTTTTAAAAAATCGACATCATTTTTTTCTCCTGCTCAGGTACGACGGTAAGAAAAACCATCGTCGGCTCACAGATATTCTGATCTACCCAATTTTTTTTTTTTGTTACAGCCAACAAAGTTTATACTCAATCTGCGAACCGAGTTACAGTTTTGGGAAATACGGCATTATCTTTCTAAACAAACCATATGCGCAGATGACTGGTAAAATCGTCGGCTCACAGATAATTCACCCAATCCACCAACAAAGATTGGGTCAACCGACGCTAACATTAACCCTAACGAACACTAACCATCAATTCAAGTTACACCACTACTAACCATGGGTATATCATACCCGATTTTGATTTTGAAAATAAAATATTAAATATAAATCTTTATTTGAAATATTTTACATGCAGGCACCTCAAACTTTGTACTTTGAGTTAACATTAATAGGAACTGTAAAACATATTATTTAGGTAAGAAAATCAGGTACTGAAATTTGTAATTAAAAATAGGAAAATTTGCCCTGGGTATATTATACTCATGGTTAGTGTTCTAGGGTTAAGAAATAACCTTCCTGATAAATCGACCACAATGACATTCGAACCCTGGTCTTAGGGTCGGAAAGTAAACGTTCCAACCAATTTGCCACGCGCCCAAATAATAATAATAATCATTCCCAACAGTGGCTGCATAGGGCAGGATTAAAACCTTGAAACAAAGGTTGTATTCTTGTTGTCGAGGACCAATTCTTATCCTTCAAATCTATAAATCAACCATTCGCCCTTGCATGGAGTATTGCTGCCATATATGGTCTGGAGCCCCTTCTGTTTGTCTCAAGGTCCTTGATAAAATCCAAAGACGGATATGCAATGTAATTGGTCCCTGATCTGGCATCTCGTCTGCAGCCGCTCTCTCACAGACGTGCTGTTGCCTCCCTGTGTCTTTTTTACAACTGCTCTGATGAGATGCTTTCGCTGGTTCTCAGACTTCATGAATTTAAGCGTTCAACTAGGCTGGCATCTCGCTCTCACCCTTTCACTGTCAAAACTGGTAAATGTAGCCGTCTCTTCTACTCCAATAACTTCATGTCTCGCACTTCTCGCCTGTGGAACTCCCTCCAAATTTCTTGTTTTCCTGATAACTATAATCTCCAACTATTCAAATGTAATGTCAATCAACATCTCCAGATGCTATGATCTATCCCCTAACCTTCTCTTCATACTTTTCTCTATCAATCCTATTTGCTCTCGCTCCAACTCTCTGTAACCCCTTGCGTGCTAGTGGCTTCCCGCCTTGCTTACTGAAAGAAACTGTGCTAATCCCAAATGCAGGTTTTGTGATGAATATCCACAAACAATTGATCATATTGTATCGGGTTGCATGGTATAGAATTCACCGAATATAAAACTCGGCATGACAAGGTGAGCCAATAACAGCGCTTGAAAAACTGCAACTTTTATGGTAAGAAAACTGCAATAAATTGGAACGACCGCCACCCAAACCCAGTTACAGAGATAGCATCTGTAAATATTTTATGGGATTTCACAATACACACAGAGAGAACGATCAAATTTAACCACCCGGATATAATGATCAAATAACAGAATAACAGAATGTGTTTTCTTATTAACATAGTTGTTCCTGTAGCCTGTCAGGAAGCTTTAAAGTGCTTCAAAATAACTATCAAAATACATGTGTCATTTTTTTAAAAAAATGACACATGAAGATATCAAATAATTTCAGTTGTGGTTGGGGCCCTGGGTTTGATTGAAAATGTTCTGATAGACTCGTTGAATGGATCCCTGACCGCCCCTATATTAAAGAAATACAACCATTTTTTTCTCATAAGCACAGTTCACACCTAACGAAGGCATACATATTTTGCATAGATATATGCAAAATTTGTATGCGTTCGTAGGTATATTTTAAATTATCTTTTACAAACATGTGCGCTGGAAAATCATGGTGTTGTTTCTGACCTCAGCTCTAGTTGGATCATGGGTGGAAAATGACTATACAACATAAATCAAAAGAAATAATAATAATAATAATAATAATAATAATAATCTCAGAAATACGAAGGCTCAAGAATATTTCGGTTGAAATATTGTCCAAAACATAATTAAAATAATAAATGTAAAAAAAAGGCCTAATGTATCAATGTGATTACATTTAGATCGTAGGGTCAAAGCGGAAGTTGGGGGTGTCTAGGAAATGATAACCTGGCAAGAGCCAATCCCTCTTCAAGACGTATTTTTAACTAACAATTGTACTTCTTTTAGAACTGGATTTAAAAGTTGGAGTAAACTTAAACATCTGAATCAAACAAAAGCATGTCATGAACAAACTATTTCTATCATTAATTGTAATTAAATGAGAGAACTGGTTTCGTATACATTTTAAAAAAAATACCAATGTTCACTACAAAGATGTTGGCTTAGGCGACATCACATTGAAACACCGTTTTCCAACCGATCACCAAAATTAAGCAACGTCTAGCCTGGTCAGTACCTTGATGGGTTACCGCTTAGGAATATCAGGTGCTATAAGCTTGGATGTGCGGGCAGTACACGGGTGAGGACTCGGAATTGATTATTAATCGGAGAACCGAGTTTCAGTTCCAGTTGGGTTTGTTATATTCACTTCGGAGAACGTTTTTTTTCTGGGCTAATTACTAAGACTTATATCACTAAAGCATTATTATCTATCGCACCGAATTCTTACATCCTAAAAGTATTTTCTGGATTACAAAAAGACAAAACTTATTAAAGGACAGGAAATGGAGAACCATGTTTGCCAACGTCCTGAACGTACACGAGACACAGAAGAAAAAGCTTGCATAGTCTCACAGAAAAGAAAAATGGATGAAAGAAATAGCGTTAGTGTGAATTTTCTCTTCAGTAGGATGGAATTCATTTTGCAATAGAATAGTCTAAAATAGAAAAAGATGTTCTAAACATGGAATGGATAAATTGGAGAACACTCTCATGGTAGCAAACTATTAGATCCTATAATCCATAAAAAAACAAAACATGGTATGACCGACTGTATTAAAATCGGAGATAAGATCGACACCGGCCAACAACTCCAGAAACAGGATAGCAAGACTGAATTAATTTTTTATAGAGATACTATTAGCTTTAAATAGTGTAAAAGCTTATCGAACTGATAAATTAAATATATGACAACGGCGAAATGCCGGAAGACCTATCTGTATTACAATGGCTTGGAATACAGGCGCAAATAAATATGATATACATCGGACAATCAGATTAATGAGCACAAATTTATTCTTACATAAAGAATAGGAGAGTATTAGCAGTACAATGTTAGCTTAAATACTTGCTACCGGTGCAAGGAAGTGTTATGTATTGTGGGTAAGCATGCAACATAAAAAAACCGGAAGTGAAGAGGTAAGAGAAACAGCACAATTTTCTCTTTTTTTTTCTTTTTTCGTAGACAGGAAAGGAAAGTTACAATGGCAACTAACCGGGCGAATTGACAAACTTAGAGATTCGGTGGAAGCAGATTCCTTCCTTATTCGCCGAAAGGATAAAGGAATCGTGATTTGTAGAGCTAGCTGGACAATCTCCTCAAAGGTGAAGATGAGACTTGAAGCATCAGAAATGTGGTTCTACAGAAGGATGCTGAGGATAACATAGACCAAACATTCGAGCAAAGACAAACTTTTAAGAAAATGAAAACACAAAGAAAACTTATACTTAACTTATACAAACTATTTATATCGTTAAATGTATTTAAATAAGAGAACAGGTTTCGTTTACATTTTTTAAAAAATACCAGTGTTCACTATAAAGATAGTGGCTTAGGCGACATCACATTGAAACCCTGGTTTCCGACAGCTCAACGAGGTTAAGCAACATCTAGCCTGGTCTGTACCTAGATGGATTACCGCTTAGGAATACCAGGTGCTATAAGCGTGGGTGTGCGGACGGTGTAACAGGTGAGAACTCGGAATTGATTAATAATCAGAGAACCGATTTTCAGTTCCAGTTGGGTTCGTTATATTCTCTTTGGAGAAACGTTGCAGGTATGGGTTAATTAGTAAGATTTTTATCACTAAGAGACAGTTAGCATTTCTATGGAACATAGTGAGGAGAGAAGGCTTGGGAAATTTGATACCCACAGGACATATTGAAGGCAAGGGAGACAGAGAAAAATATCGCATAAAATATTTAGTGAGTTTGAGTAAATAGATGGCGGAACAGGGTTTAGAAGAAATAACAAAAAGATAGCATTTTTAAGAGCTACAAATAACAGGAAACTGTGGAGTGCCATGATCGCCTACGTCCCGGAGGGATGCGCAACATAGAAAAGACCGGTTTGATTTTGATATGTCTAACTTTTAATTTTCATTTTGCGTGGTTCCTTTTGCTGAAATCTTTGTTTTACAATAATTTATTTCGTTTTTGCTTACTTTTACCTCCTTGTCTAACACTGCAGATAAAGAAGAAGAGGTAGACCAGAAAATGTTTATAAGTAGTGTGGCTGTGTTCAAAACACTGGAACAAGAAATGCTATTTTTATGGGTAGAAATGCACAAAACCCCACACATAAGGTCTCATAGATTACCCAAAACTCGCTAACCATTGCATTATCCTCCCGATACAGTGTCCAAATATTTGACATCATTTCTCAGACCAATAATTTTAACAATTCTTCTTGAAACAAGTAAAAATTTCCACAGATCAAATTTTTATATTTAATGTTTTATTTTTATAATCTCAATGAGAATCTGCCACAGAGATGGATCGGGCAGTTTTCTGATGAAATGACCGCCGCGATCACCGGACCTGTCCCCGTGTGATTTCTTTTTATGGGGATATGTGAAAGGGTTGGTCCATGTTCCCCCTCTTCCTGCTAGAATTGATGAACTCAAGCAGAGAATCGCTTCCGCGCTGGATAATGTTACTGGAAACATGCTACAGCGTGTTTGTTAAGAGCTTAACTACCAACTTGATGTGTGCCGTGTCACGGGCGTGCACATATTGAACATTTATGAAATCGGTCCCATAATAAACTTATGATGTTAAACACCTAAACTGTTCAATTTCATTGAGCTTGACTTAGTAGTTTTCAAGATAACTGCTTTTAAAATGATGTCATTTTTTTAGAACACACTGTATTTAAAGGACAATGAAAATATTTAATCTTAGTTTAAACAGGCAGCAAAAGAAGCTCAAACAATGTATTGGTCAAACGTTGTGTTAAAAAAGCAACAAAGATGAAGGCAGTTATATTAAATAATAAAAAATACATACCGGAATTTTTGCGACAGTTTAATAACCTTTTGTTTATGGCAACAGAGCTCGTTTAATGTTGAAAATCATTTGCAACTTATAACATCTACGGTTGCCGCAGAACGACATAAACACGCCCACTTAGAACTTAAATTGTGAAAACCATGACGAAATACTTGTAATATCCAAGCGACATTTTCTAAATGGTCGTCCATCCTAGACCCACCTAAGCAACATTTTTTTTTTTAGTAAAACCAATCCTTGAAAAATAAATAGCAAAATATGAAGAGAGCTTTATTTTATTTTCTCAAGCTTAAACGATAATAATTCCCAAATAGGAAACTTTCCCACGGTCAACTAATAAATTTTTATTTCGGACATTATGCCTTTCCGTACATCTTTGCGGAAATTGCTTTTCTTTTTTAATAATATCGACAGCGCTTTGACGATCTCTCTCTCTCTCTGTCTCTCTGTCTCTCTCTTATATATATATTATATATATATATATATATATATATATATATATATATATATATATATATATATATATATATATATATATATATCGTTGGATTGATGAATGGAGAGCAGAGTTCGAATCCATTCGAATTCATTCACTTACGTGCTAATACACTTGGGAAAGATGTAAATCCTCTTCTTCTTCTTCCTGGGTAAATAGGAGGACAGACTGGGTTTTATAGCCTTGGATGGCAACTGGTCTAGGAGAAGGACAACTCTGAATTCAAAACCTGCGGAGGGTCGTTTGGGGACCTTGTGGAACGTAGTGCACCAGGTCTCTGTATTTGGCCCCTCAAAAAGTGTGGATGGTCCTGCACAAAACCTTCACCACTATAATCAAATCTCATGTGCTGTTGTTCTGATCAGCTTCAGAGAGTCGAATATATATATATATACACACACACACACACACACACACACACACACACACACACACACACACACACACACACACACAAACACAAAAAACATAAAAGTACTTTTTCCAGTGTAAAAGGAGAGCAGGTTCGATCCTTGCAAAGAGGTACATATTATATATTAAAACTTTATAATATACCAGTTGTTCATAAGTAAAAATACACTTACCATGCTGTACTTATATATGATAACCTTCTTCCGATATGAGGCAGGGAAGTTAATTTTGTAGATAGAAATTAAATTTAATTGAAAACTAGTAAAATCTAGAGAGGAATTTCGTTCAAAAAGAGTAACATTCATCTTCCTTTCTCTCTCTATTCTTCTCCCTCTCCCCCGTCTCTCTATTCTTCTCTCTCTCTCACTCTATTCTTCTCTCTCTTTCTTTTCTTCTCTCTCTCTATCTTTCCCTAATCTTCTCTCTCTTTCTCTCTCTACTCTTCTCTCTATATATTCTTCTCTCTATATATATTCTTCTCTCTCTTTTCTTCTCTCTATTCTCTCTCTTTCCGTCTCTCTTCTCCGCCTTCTCTATTCTTCTCCCTCTCTATTCCTCTCTCTCTATTCTTCTCTCTATATATTCTTCTCCCTCTCTATTATTCTCTCTCTATTTTTCTCTCTATATATTCTTCTCTCTCTCTTTGTCTCTCTCTAGTCTTCTCTCTCTTTCTCTCTCTATTCTGTTCTCTCTTTTTCTCTCTCTATTCTTCTCTTTCTCTCTCTTTATTCTTCTCTCTCTATTCATTCTCCATCTATTCTTCTCTCTCTCTCTCCTTCTCTCTCTATTCTTATCCCCCTTTTTCTACTCTCTCTTTCTCTCTCTATTCTTCTCTCCCTTTTTCTCTCTCTATTCTTCTCTTTCTCTCTAGTCTTCTCTGTCTTCTCTCTCCCCTCTCTCTCTCTATATATATATATATATATATATATATATATATTCAAACATAATTCATTTTATAATATAGGCATTTTATATTTATTTTTATAGTGTCTATATTATTCAATGAAATATATGTTGCCTAAATAAATACATACACACACATATATTAGACGTTATTTTTAGTGGATACCCGTGTTTGAGTAGACGCTCTGTTTATGGTGTATTTATTTATTTTCGTCTACCGGCCTGAATATTAGACAGGTCTTATTGAAATTAATTAGTGTTGCGTTTGTAAGGCACTATTCAACTTTGCCTGTTCATCGATGCACTTCCTAACATAGCCGGTTTAAAGCACATCGGATCAAACGACGTTTACTCCTTCCAAGGGTTGCGCAGGTTCGAATACTGCCGGAGAGCGGATATTATTTTTAATAAGATCTCAAATATTCAGGCTAGTAGACTTCTTTTGAAAACCGAGCAAAATGGAGAAACACCTGCTACCGAGGTATAACTAAATTTGAAAAGAATTGTCTCAACCATCTGAGAGAATTAAGAACCAACATTTAAATCTGGGACCAATAAATCAGTCCATATGACAGTCAGCACTTCAGCATGTCCCACGTGTGGACTTGTTTGCAAATCCTGTAGGATTCTTGTCTCATACGAGACATAAACATAAAACCTGAAGTGAAAGACACTCATACGTTGAAAACGACGGAAGAATCCATCATCTATACACACACACACACACACACACACACACACACACACACATATATATATATATATATATATATATATATATATATATAGAGAGAGAGAGAGAGAGAGAGATAGATAATATTAGTGTTCAATATATATATATATAGGGTGACCCAAAAAAACAGGAACCTTTTAACAATCCAATAAAACCAAGAGTGATGGAAGAAAAATATTTTATTCATAGTAATTGAAACCTTAAAACATGCCATTTAAAAAACAATGACGGAACTCTCATTTTTTTAAAATTACGTCCTGTAGATGGCGTCCTCCTGTACGAATGCATTCTTGAAATCTGCTGTTGAGATTCCTCATTGACTGCTGCAACATCTCAGCTGGGATACTGTGAATTTCATCTTGAATTCTAAATGGCGAAATGTTTACTTGCTCAAGGTCACTGTCTCGCAGTGTTGCTACTTGCTCGTCTCTCAATACGCACTTCAAAATTTCCCGTTTTTTAGGGCTACCCTATAAAAGGCTCAAACACTAATATTCCATGGTTATAATTTATTACATTGGAATCGTAATCACAATCCATCAGACCTACAAATTTATATATATATATATATATATATATATATATATATATATATATATATATATATATATATATATATATATATATGAGATAAAGATATATATTTTTATATATCAAGAACAGTATTGGAGAAATTGTATGACAAAGTGGAAAATGTTGACTTTTGACGCATTTCGTCCTTCAAGACTTCATCAGACTAAATTTGCTATATTAACACGATAGAGGTGCTGGGAATTTTAGATTTTTTTTTATTCACTACAATGTAAATGCCAAGAGTTCCTTAATCGCAAGGTCATCTACAGTAAGTTGCATTAAACTACGAACCACCCGATGAATTTAGTTTTCGCCATTTTATATCATTAACTTTACTAAATCTACTTTTTGTATGATTGATTAATGTAATATAAATTGAACTGCACCACATATCTTATATATATATATATATATATATATATATATATATATATATAAAAGAAGAGAGAAACCGCGAACGTTTTTGGCTGTAATGTGGAATTTTTAAAAAAAATATTATGGAAAATAAAGCATAATATATTTTTATTATCCAGTCTCTGCCTGATGAAGGTCGCGAGACCGGAAACTGGTGTAGCAAAATTATGGAAAATAAAGCATAATATATATTTTTAAATATCCACATTACAACCTAAAACGTTTTCGGTTTGTCTTTTTTTTTTAATATACACACTTTTCTCTCGTAGCAACTGCTATAAGCTCTTCCCTACATATATATATATATATATATGTGTGTGTGTGTGTGTGTGTGTGTGTTTGTTTATGTATCAGGTGTAAGCGAATTGAAATGAATTCGCTGGAGTTTGAAGGTTTATTGACTTAAAATAAAACATTAAAATAAAATCAAAACCTATTACATAAACCTTTGGTCGGTCATATGAGGAAGTCGTCGTGGACGGCCTTTCAATTCACTGAGCGAGATTCTGTCGCACAAATCTCCCCCCCCCCTCTTCGACCAACAGTCACAGACATTCCAAGCGGGCATTCACGGACGCACTGATAACCCACATTCTAACCCGAACAAAGGTCAATGCTTAGAAGTTCAACATTCAAACTGAAAAGGTTAACGAAGATATGCAAATCAGATAACCTTTACAATAAATGTGTGATTTCATTTTTTTTTTAATCAGAATTCTTTTTAATTAAAATAATGAAAACCAAAGTCAAACAGTTTATAATGATAATTTATAAAACCCAATAGATTACGCGGCACTTATTTCGATTAACGGCGTCATTTATTTTGATTAACCGCGTATTTAGATTACTTCGCTACTTATATCAATATAAAATCTTTGCTGGCAATAATATACACCCTTGTGCAAATTAATTGAAACAACCGCATTAATTTCTTTTCTTTCACCATATGGTCAGTTTTACACCCACTGGAGTGACAGGGTGGAATCGATTCCTATTTTTCCTCAGATTAGGTCATTTGCAGTGGTGTGCAGTAATATGAATCTATTTTCGGGGTGTATGATGAAATTTGTTTGGCCTTGAAATATATTGCATCATCCGTGATTGTATCAAATTTTTATCACGCCTAGACACTATTGTCTTGGCTGTCGATTAGTTGTCCTACAGCCATTGTCAGCGATAGATGTTACTCCAAGAAAATGTACGAAATTGTACCGCTGCACAAACACACTTACCAGTGAGCAAATCAAGGTACTATAGATTGGCCCGGAAACTCTCTTGATTTAAATCCAATCGAGAATCTGTAGTCAATCTGCAAGGAACGACTTTGTAGAATGGGCATACGAAATATTAACGTGAGTGTCATGTTTCATTGGAAAAATATGAAAAAAAAAAATAACAGAATTATTCGCTTTGTTTCAATTAATTTGCACAAGGATGTGACAGCTATAAAAAGGCACTGTTAATTATTTACGGCCAACATTTTTAAACAATGAACTGACCATTGTTTGCGGCATGTAGTAATAAATCTAAATAAAATGATGCACTAAAATAAGTAACCAAGAAATCGTTTTACGTTCTCTGAATATAAAGTATTTACAAAATTGTTTTCCTTATCTGTTCAACGAACTGAAATCTAGAAAGTATTTGTGAACGCACCAATTTTAATGTTTTTTTCTCAAACTGATGATAAAAAAAAGCTCAATAGGAGCAGATAGGTTTGCCTCTCTCCCGGTTCACACTCTTCCCAGGTCTTTTGAACATGAGTAGAAGTTTATCATTTGTTTCGTATTTGGGAATTGGTTTCCGGAACCTTTTAAAGTCTACCTCAACTCTATACCTACGCCTCCGCTTAATCTGAACTTTTATTTACTATTTATTTACTCTTTTTCTTCAATAGGAGCAGATAGGTTTTCCTAACGCTCGGTTCACACTCCTTCCAGGCCTTTTGATTAAGAGATTTCTCCTCTGCTTCCGGTTTAGGATTGTGTTTCCGGTCCCTTTTAAAGTCTGCTTCAACTCTATACTTCTTTCGCCTCATTAGAACATTTATTTACTATCTACTCTTTTTGCTTCCCTCAATAGGAGGAGATAGGTTTGCCTATCGGCCGGTTCACACTCCTCCCAGGTCTTTTGAACAGGAGTTTTATCCTATTTTTCTTGTTTAAGAATGGGTTTTGGGGTCTTTTTAAAAATCTTTTCCTTCTCTTTTACTTCCGGTGTCCCTTTATATCTCGGTGTCATTATCACCTTGCTTGGGTGGGGCCTCTTATTCTGCCACCCTCTACCTCGAGTGGGCCTTGGGCCTTGTATCATTGTAAAAAAAAAAAAAAAAAAATTATCACGTTACAGAAGATATTTTCTGAACTAGCAGGTGCTTGTAATATTCTACGCGCGCGTATACAGTTTTATGTGTATATCAGTGATATGAAATAAATAGAAAGAAGCCCATAAAATCATGTCTACAACATTGGCAACACCTAGTTCCGGGCTGAATAGAGTACTTGGAGGAAAGAGAACAATACATGAAATTTCGACTGTTTATTCCCAATATCCGCATTGTAGACGAGGCGTGTATGCTCATAAGGAGTGTGGACACAGGAATCAACACTGCATAGTGACTGGTTGTTCTTTGTCTTTAGAGATGATCAGACATGGACGGAGGAGTAAGCAACGAGGAAATTAGAAAGAAATCCAATTTCCCTGTATGTTGTGGACCCCGGGATGAAATGCGGTCTCAAATGAATGACAAATGCAGGAATGAAATATAGCAAATAAATGTATTGACGTAATAATACAATTGGTAATACGGTTAGTAGATCCAGAAATGCGGTTAGTAGCTATAATAATATATATACAGTCTGGGAAATTCATTATCGAAGTAGGACTTCCTTCTGAGTCTACGTGCTCGCAACTGTGACTCCTACAAAGCGGTTACCTCACACTCTCACTCTCTCACTTTATCACTCCCGGGTATTCACCGGCAGCAGTACAAGTACACTTGTATAAAAAGGGGTGGACCCCGTAACACTGTAACAAGTGAGAGACATACCTTCATCACCCAGTTTGGCTTACTTGATGCCAGCCTGACAAATTCTTTCATATATAATAGTAATTTACATGGTGGCTATCTATGGGTCCGTCATTAAAACAAATGTCTTTAAAATATATAAAATAGAGATCTCTACTCAAACACGTGTAGCCATTAAATATAAATTTAAAGTACTGAGAAATAACATCTACCGTGTTTG